CTTGAAATTTCGTAAGTTTTGACATCGAAGAAAATAGTCCCTATTCATCTTCATTTATGCGAAAACACAGAAGACATAAAGAACTCCCTTTTGGCTCCAAAAGGGAGATAAGTCCAATAATTATTTCTTGATTCATTAATCTCCTTGAAAAACCAGTATAAATCTAATGTTTCTTGAATTGAAATTTTATTTTTACCAAATTATAATTTAGATTCTAGTGAGATTCTGATTGATGCAAATATCCTTGACAAATTAACCTTGTCATGATCCTTTTCACTTTGCGACATGAGGGCCTGCGACAAAATAAATGGTGCAAGGAAAAACTAATCCAAAAATAATATGGTTTGATTACATTAAGTCAGCAACAAAATTTACAAATCAATTCACATCAACTTGAGACAACCAGGGTAATCCTATCGCGATAATTTCCTCAATTTCATCTAGCTTCTCAGCTTTAGTAAGGACCCCAACAGCTCAAATACATGACTTTTCTTAGAGATTCCTCGGACTGTTTTGCTTTCACTTCCTTGATTTTATTCGAGATCATGGCAGAGGATGAAGAAGAAAGCTTCTTGGCTTGAGAGGCTGATCTGACATGGTTCTTGGCATGTTGGTGCAGGGATCTCAAGGTGTAGTTCCACCTACAGAATCCTTGGTCTTTCAAGGCCTCAACACCTCCAACAGCTGCTGCAACCAACCAAGCTTTGCTTGCTGAACTCATTTTCTCTGTTACTGCAATATAGAACCAACAAGTTGGAAACTCTTTGAAGTGGGATTTAGAGAGGTTAAGATATCAGGAGCTATGATTTGACGAAGTAAATGGAAGTGAAGGGGTTTGGTTATATAGGTGAGTGTACCAGAAGTGTAGGAGAAAAACCAGAGGCTAAAGGCTTCTTGGTGGTGGTTTTGAGGGAGGAAACCACCAAAGGCCCACGGTATTTTTTATGACACGATGCATCTTTTGTCTTAGGAGACGACTGGCTTCATTAAATAAGTGGGGATAAAATGGGATGGGTGTAGATTTTTTATTTTGTTCATGACAATCGACAGATCAACGTTGTCTCTATCTTCTCACTTGCACACCGTTTTGCTTAAATAAAAATCCAACTAAGCCCAAATTAGAGGCGAGGAATGCCACATGCCATGTTCTTGGAGGCTCACACGCATGAAACTGTATCAATTAAAGTAGGAGGACCGTCTACGGAACTGCATGCTTGCTTTTGTTTTTTTAATCAGTCAATCAGTCAATCAGTCATTAGATATTAATATTTAAGACAGTTCAGCCAAAAACTTGAAAGGTTAAGTCATGACACGCAAACTACAGCGAAAATAAATCTAGACTTATCAATTAAGTTGTAGATTAAACTTTTTATAAATTTCATTTTTTTGATATTTTTATTAAATATAAATAATAATTTTTATCTCTATAAAAATAAACTAGATATTTCTATTTATATTAATTCTAATATTTATTATAAAAAATATTTATAGTTAAAAATTTTCTAATTAATACAATCCATCTTAGCATAAATTAAATAGAAATAAATAATTATAATTTAAAATTAATTAGAAAAATAATTAAAATAATAAAACAATAACTTTAGTTTTCATATTAGATGTTTTCAAATTTCTGTGAGGATTTTTTTTCAGACTTAGCTTTGCTAATCTAATCTATGCCAGGTTTATGTCTATGATCATGCATGGAAGTTAAAAGTTCAGTTGTTTTCTTTCTGCAAGAAGGTCATATGCAGGTAGCCTTCCACTAATGTTAACTATGAGCGCTTGAATAGAAATTTAGGCAAAAATTGTATTGGTCACGACCATTGTATTTCTGAAAATAAACGCTAATATTTTTAACCTTTTCTTTTCATTTGGGTCGAACAGACAGAGATTCTAGAGAGCGAGCTTGAAAGAGTGGTTTGAGAACGAACATTAATTTTGAATCAGCATCGTTCCTAGTTTCTTGAAACTGCAAGCTTTGACATAGAAAAGGACATAATTCAGCATTTTTAAATATCAAAAGATTTCAATCCAGTCTTGCCTATAAATAAATTTATGTGATAATAGGTCCTCTTCCATTTTTCACACAATGATCACTCCCGTTGTGATTAGTGACTGCGAATTTTACACCAAAATGGATTTTCTTTTGGGTCAAATCCAATTTTCTTTTAATGCATTTGGGGATGTGGGGGGGAGAGATATTTTAGATTCCAGTTGATTGTCATATCTCAAATTGAAACTAAATGAAATTGCCTGTTTATTCCACTAGAAAACTAGAAAAGAGCTTTGTTAAATTTACTCACTGAGGAGATGCCCTGCGCGCTACCAAAAGAATTGATAAAAACATATGATAATGTTCGATTTCAGCAAATGAGCATCAAAATTTACAATTTGCATAAGCTTGCAAGGATTTACTCCTATAAACTAAGTCCCTCGATTTCATCTACTAAGCTTCAGTTTGGACCCCAACAACTCAAGTACATGACTTTTCTTAAAGACTCCTCCGACTGTTTTGCCTTCTCTTCCTTGACTATATTTGGGATCATGGCTGAAGATGAAGAAGAAAGCTTATTGGCCTGAGACGCTGATCTGACATGGTTCTTGGCATGGTGGTGTAGGGATCTCAATGTGTAGTTCCACCTACAGAACCCTTGATCTTTCAACGCCTCAACACCTCCGATAGCAGCGGCAACCAACCAAGCTTTACTCGCTGAACTCATTTTTTATGTTACTGTAATATAGAACCAACAAGTTTGTAGTGAGATTTGTAGAAGGTAAGATAACACGAACTATGCTTTGATGACTCCAATGGAACGATGGGATTTGGTTATATAGGTGAGAAAGCCAAAAGTTTAGGAAAAAACCTGAGGCTAAAGGATTCCTGCTGGTGGTTTTTTGTGCGGGAACCAGCAAAAGCCAATGGTATTTTTTTATATTGAGATGATTGTATTGACATCCAACTACCACATGGCGACAATAAGAAAGTGGGGACAAAATGGGATTCTTGGGGTGGCTAGATTTTTTTTACTTTTGCTCGACAACAAACCAAAAGCTTCTGTGCCTGCCCCGAAATGAGCACACGGTATTGCTTCGTAAAATAAATAAATCCAGGCCAAAGTACCAGGAGAAGCATAGCTGAAGGGTGGTGAATCAGGCATGCCACAATTTGGTGGCACTTTCTCATTGAAGTGCATTTGCCACTTGTAAGGAATGTAAGAAAGTGTGGGACTTGGGATCAAGGGGTTTGCTCCCTCTGTGGTCTCAGGTTCGAGTCCTTGGTTGCTCATATGATGGCCACTGGAGGCTTACATGGTCGTTAACTTCAGGGCCCGTGGGATTAGTCGTGGTGCGCGCAAGCTGGCCCGGACACCCACGTTAATCTAAAAAAAAAAAAGAAAGTGTGGGACTGAGGATAACGTAAATCAAAAAAAAAAAAAAAGAAAGTGCGGGACTGAGGATGAACAAATGTCAAAGTGCATGCTTCTCCTTTTCTTCTTCTTTATATAAAATAAATTTGATAGCCTCTCTCTCCCTCTCTCTCTCTCGATTTCTTGGAATTCATCCTTTTCATACTTTATTTTACGGTAAACATGTATTCACATAAAAGCTTGAATCAATCCCTTCTCAGGAAGTTACAATATTGAGCAAATTACTTCCATCCGGACATGAAGATTTATAAAAATCCTACTCGCCATCAACTTACAAAGGAAGGTTTATAAAAGATTTGGGAAAAGAAAATACGTAAGCACCAATTAGCACATTATATTTCATGTTGTGGTACAATTATATTTTAAACGTAAGCACCAATTAGCACATTATATTTGATGTTGTGGTACAATTATATTTTTAATTTTTTAATTTTTTAATTTTTTAAATTAATTTTTTTAAAAAAAATTGTGTTAATGTAAAAATAATTTTTTTAAAAAATATTATCAAAACAATCTCTATCACAGAAAAAGAAAAATCCCAAATTGGAATCCTCTATCTATAAAAATTATCCAATTATGATAAAAAAAATTATTATTTTAAGTCAAATGGATCCTCAACTTTATGAATCTGATTTTCTATCTATAAAAATTATCCAATTATGATAAAAAAAAATGATAAAAAAAGAAGAAGATTTGTTTACCAACATAGATGTGCACAATTTTCTTTTTATATTTGATATGAAGTAGTATTTTCAGGTTATTTTGTGTATCAATCTTACTTGTATGATTTTAGAAGCCATATCCTATAAACACATGATACATTAAAAAAAAAAAACTCAGAATGCTAACTTTTGAATAAAAATAAATAAATCATGCACAAATTTTAAAACGAGGGTTAATTAGGTGAGTACAATTTCAAGCTAACAGTGACGAAGTTGTAGAAACCACTTGCAAAAGAATTAGCTTCTTTTTAGGTTGAGTTGGACTAAAACCTGCTTGAGAAAGTATTGGGATGGATGATAACCTTCAAAACAAGTCTTTTGATGCAAATTATGGATCCTTCAATGTTTAAATCAATTTAAGTAGGGGAGAAAGAGCCTTGAATAACCATGTATATGTGTGGGTGTTAGAATATTAGCGAGGTTAAGGAGGATATGATGGCGAAGAAGATGAAGAAATTATCCCTTACTTCAAGATTTAAGTCTATAAATGTCCTTTGCTCTAAAAATTCTCCCCACCATTCAAGGTAAGCCTCTAAAAACCTATCGAAGCCCTGTTATCCACGCATAGAAATGGTTAATCGCTTTACTTGAAGTGAGAAGTGGTCACACACTGACAGTCAGGTTGGAATTTGGAAGACTACAGATCTGCAGAAAAATTGATGAAATTCCAGTTTGAATTCTAAATTGAAAATGCACACGTATCTAATCTTGTTGCTTGACGTTAAGCATCAAACCATGATCTATCAAGGAAAGGCTTAATCCATGCTCAGAATTAAGCAGGATGTTTGAATGTCATTTAGCCCATGTCAGAGAAACCATGAAAATTTGGTGGCAACATCTCACAACGAAATGATTAAAGAACAAGCAAGATTTTTCAGATTGCATGGGACATGAATTAAAAAGGGATAGGAAAAGATAGGAAGATGGTGACAACATTTTTGTTCCACAAAATTTTCGGGTTGCATATAGCAATGGTGTAATTACAAGCTGATCATGAGAGGGCAGTCAGACTAGCTACAGTTCACATCAGGCTTGCATCAATCACTAATCAAGCCCCCGCAAATTTTCTCTCACAAACCATAATCATGGCTTTGACCATGTTCTTCTCAGTGGACCAGCTTCAGCCTGCATAAGGCATCAGATTCTCATGGCAAACTTCTCAACTCATTTAATTTGGACCCCAAAAACTCAAGCACATGACTTTCCTTAGAGACTCCTCGGATTGGCTTGATTCCCTCAATTTACGCGAAACCATAGCAAAAGATGAAGAAGAAAGCTTCCTGGCCGGAGAGATTGACCTCATATTATTCTTGGCATGTTTGTGTAATATTGATCTCATGGTGTAGGTCCATCTGCAAAAACCCTGGTCCTTCGATGCCCCTACAGCTCCAAATAAGCATCAAAATTTACAATTTGCATAAGCTTGCAAGGATTTACTCCTATAAACTAAGTCCCTCGATTTCATCTACTAGATTCATAGCTTCAGTTCGGACCCCAACAACTCAAGTACATGACTTTTCTTAAAGACTCCTCCGACTGTTTTGCCTTCTCTTCCTTGACTATATTTGGGATCATGGCTGAAGATGAAGAAGAAAGCTTATTGGCCTGAGACGCTGATCTGACATGGTTCTTGGCATGGTGGTGTAGGGATCTCAATGTGTAGTTCCACCTACAGAACCCTTGATCTTTCAACGCCTCAACACCTCCGATAGCAGCGGCAACCAACCAAGCTTTACTCGCTGAACTCATTTTTTATGTTAAGGTAAATATAGAACCAACAAGTTTGTAGTGGGAATTGTAGAAAGTAAGATAACACGAACTATACTTTGATGAATCCCATGGAAGGATGGGGTTTGGTTATATAGGTGAGAATGCCAAAAGTTTAGGAAAAAACCTGAGGCTAAAGGCTTCCTGCTGGTGGTTTTGGGTGCGGAAACCAGCAAAAGCCAATGGTAATTTTTTATGGTGAGATGACTGTATTGACATTCAACTACCACATGGCGACGATAAGAAAGTGGGGACAAAATCGGGTTCTTGGGGTGGCTAGATTTTTTGCCTTTTGCTCTACAACAAGCCAAAAGCTTCTGTGCCTGCCTTGAAATGAGCACACGGTTTTGCTTCGTAAAATAAAATAAATCCAGGCCAAAGTATCAGGAGGAGCATCGCTGAAGGGTGAGTCATGCATGCCACAGTTTGGTGGCACTTTCTCATTGAAGTGCATTTGCCGCTTGTAAGGAATGTAAGAAACTAAGAAAGTAACCATCTAGTTGGTGGAAAAGTAATAAAAACTTAAGATTAAGAGGTTTGTTCTATCTGTGGAAGGAATGTAAGAAACTAAGAAAGTAACCGTCTGGTGGTGGCGTCTAGTGGTGGACAAGTGGTAAAAACTTAAGATTAAAGAGTTTGTTTTCTTTGTGGTCTCAGGTTCGAGTTCTTAATTGCTCATATGATGGCCATTGGAGGTTTACATGGTCGTTAACTTCAGGGCCCGTGGGATTAGTCATGGTGCGCGCAAACTGACCCGAACACCCACGTTAATCTAAAAAAAAAATTAAAAAAGTGCACTAAGAGCCTTGGCACTGGGTTTGAATGTTCATGGGCATGCCTCTTATTCTTATAATGTTTTAAATGTTTACTGAATTTATAAAATATTTAATAGATTGTGGAATTAATTATAACACATACAAGTGGGTTTGGATATTTATATTAATAAAAAAAAATAAAAATAAAAAAGAAAATAAGAAAATGTGCGACTGAGGATAAACAAATGTCAAATTGCATGCTTATCCTTTTCTTCTTCTATATATTAAATAAAGTGGAGAGCATCTCTCTCTCTCTCTCTCGATTTCTTGAAATTCATCTTTTTTCATGTTTTATTTTACGGTAAACATGTATCCACATAAAGCTTGAATCAATCCCAGCTTGAATCAATCCCTTCTCAAGAACTTACAAAATTGAGCAAATTACTTACATCCAGGCATGAAGATTTATAAAAGTCCTACTCGCCATCAACTTACACAGGAAGGTTTATAAAAGATTTGGGAAAAGAAAATACGTAAGCATCAATTAGCACATTATTTTATATTTGATATTTCAGTTTAGATTGTTTAAAAAATATTTTTAGATTTTATTTGATGTTGTGGTGGTGGTTTTTATTAAATATTTTTTGTTTGAAAATATATTAAAATAATTTTTTATTTTAAAAAATTCATTTTTAAAATCATAAAATACAAAAAAAATACTTAATTTAAGAAAAAAATCATTTAAAAAAAAAAACACTGCTACACGTTTTTTTGAGTGAAGTACCATCCAAGCATATCTAAGGCCCATCTACACATCCAAGTGCATCCCTGGCCTTTCTATTTTTATATTTGGGGATCCAATTGAGAATTAAATGAAAGTTGGTTGTTGGTATATCCATTGCTCTTAAGAATTCTGCCCACCATTCAAAGTAAGCCTCTAAAATCCTATCGAAGGCCTATTGTCCATGCATCGAAAGAATTAATCGCTTTACTTGAAGCGAGAAGTGGTCAAACTGGTATTCAGGTTGGAATTTGGAAGATAGATCTCCAGAAAAATTGTTGAAATTCCAGTTAGAATTCTAAATTGAAAATGCACACGTATCTAATCTTGTTGCTTGACGTTAAGCATCAAACCATGATCTATCAAGGAAAGGCTTAATCCATGCTTAAAAATTAAGCAGGATGTTTGAATGTCATTTAGCCCATGTCACAGAAACCATGAAAATTGGGTGACACTTAAGCAATGGTGTAATTACAAGCTGATCATGAGATGGCAGTCTGCTAGCTACAGTTCACATCAGGCTTGCATCAATCACTCGTCAAGTCCCACAAATTTTATCTCACAAACCATAATCATGGCTTTGGCTTTGTTCCTCTCAATGGACCAGCTTCAGCCTGCATAAGGCATCAGATTCTCATGGCAAACTTCTCAACTCATTTAATTTGGACCCCAAAAACTCAAGCACATGACTTTCCTTAGAGACTCCTCGGATTGGCTTGATTCCCTCAATTCACCCGAAACCATAGCAAAAGAAGAAGACGAAAGCTTGTTGACCTGACAGATTGACCTCATATTATTCTTGGCATGTTTGTGTAATGATCTTATGGTGTAGGTCCATCTGCAAAAACCCTGGTCCTTCAATGCCTCTACAGCTCCAATGCTAGCTCCCACAATCCAAGCCTTTCTTGCTGTACTCATTTTTTTCCTTTAACCCTCAAAGTTTCCCTTTTCTTTTGCAAGTAGATGACTACAGATTACAAATGATCTTAATGAAGCTAATGGATTCTAAGGGGCCTTTAATTATAGAGGGGATGGTGATGGCTGGAAGTAAGTAGTAGAAAGCCAGAAACCAGTAGCTATAAGCCAAGGCCACTGGTTTTGGCCCCTTGTAAGGCAAATGGCATTTTGTTTCCTAGAATTACTTTCCTGACCATGCATAACCACTTGTCATATTAATAATAGAAGGACAAATATGGGTTTTGGTCACATCTTGAAGGTGAAAATGTGACAAGATAATGCAGCCTCTAGACTAGAGCTGGTAATAATGGACTCTGTCTGCCTCTAGACTAGAGCTGGTAATAATGGACACGCAGTTTTCTTGTGAAACTGCCTGGTACTCTGTCAGATCAGGCCACCGGCAACAAATGATGGCACCCACTCTGGTCACGTGTGGGTTTTGACTTCAGAGGACAGGCCGACAAGTTGTGGAGACAAACAAACTTCAAGGGTAAAATTGCTAAATTGTTTCTTTAGAGACTCAACTGTGAATACAATTGTGGGTTGGGGATTCATGGTAACTTATATGAGTGGATTCATAATGTACTAGACAATTGTATTAAACCCACTCTGCATTTGCAAGTAAATTCGGTGATCTGTGAGTTGAATTGGTAAAACCCGTTAAATATACAGGTTAATCCTTAAATTGATCAAAATAAAGATCTGATTTTATTTTATTTATTTTATTAAAATAATATTAGTTTATTTTTTTCCTACAAATATCTTGAAAATAAGCTGTTTTATAATTTCGGGATGATATTCATGTATCGTTTCTGTGGTCTGTCTAAGGAAGCGTGATAATGAGCTCACTAATTGCGCCATTTTCATGATTCGGAGATTCATGTAATGTTTTCTTTAATATTGTAATAGTTTTTTTAAAAAAAATTATTTGTAATATTAACATATCAAAATAATCTGAAAATATTAAGAAATATTAATTTAAAATAAAAAATTAAAAAATATATTTTTTAAAAGCATTTTTAAAAAATAAAAACAAATTATTAATCCTAATTTTGCCTGGTTTACAAAAATTGCTTCTATTGAGAAAACCCTATTGAAAGAGCACCATGTTATGGCTAACTGCAGAATCAAATCGCCTGATTCTTCTATCAGGCCTAACGTTAAGGTCATCAACCACAGGAGTTAAACCTGACGTTTAGAGCCAACAAGCACGAGTCTAAGCTCCGTAAGCAAGAATTGTCTTGGAACCGTTCAAGGGCTCAAAGACCAGAACTCTAAAGGGATGATGAAGCATCATCAGGCAAGAGCAGCAAGACCAGAATCCGCAAATTCCACTCGGTTTAGATGGGTTTCTGGTGCCAATGATCCCATGAAGATGGGCGGTGTTAGTGAGATGCTCAGGGTAAGGGAAGCTGAAAAGGCTGAGAATGCCATGCATCTCATTTGTTGGCGACCTCGTTAAGATAATCAGTATGTTGTGTGCTCGTTCTGTGAATTTCTCTTATTTCAACATAGAAATTACTAGCATCAAGTGTACTAGTCTCTTCGGGCTCAATCGGTTCGAAAGGATTTTAGTGGACATCCTATCAAGAATTTAAATCCTTTAGACACTACAAGTCTAACTTGAAAAGCATGTGTTTTGGACTTGATGGCCAATTAGGACTTCTGAAAGTATAGATCGATGATCCATTTTCTAGATAAGTACCAAACTCGAGTGATTAAGTATATGAGAATATGAGCTCTATTTGAATTTTAAATAAGCAGGTGAGGTTTGCGGCCTTTTATAGTTTTGAGCTCCAAACTTTTTCTAACCTAATTTTAAACATTGGCACATGACCTATTTTTAGATGTTATAATCCTCGGGCCCATCCCATCTTGATTTGCCTATATATTAGTTAATTGGCCTGTTTTTCACTGTAGATTATACAATTTTTTTAAAATATAAAAAAATATTAAGAGGTGAAGAATTTTTTTTGATTGTATTATTAAACCTGATTTAATAAATTAGATTAATTTTGAAATCTTGTAATTTAATTTTTTTTATCTTAAATTTCAAACTAAATTACTCAGGAGTTAGCTTGAATTAAGTTGATTGATTTCATTTATTAAAATACAATCTTAATGATAAATAAAAATATAATTTAGCTTTTAACAAAATTGATAATTTTTTTCATAAAAACTATTAAGACATCAATAAATCAGATTAATCTTAGTTTCCAAGTAAACTATGTCACGGACCCAATGAGTTTGGTAACATTTTTTTAAATAGTTTTTTAATTATATAATAAAAATATATGATCACAAAATTAAATATCAACATAATAATAACCTTAAATAAAGAAAGAAAAAATATATAATTAATTTCTTAACAAATTCAATATTGAAAGATAAAGTTAAGAAAAAACTATTAAAAACAATTAACGAACCAAAAAAAAAAAATATCCGATCAAGGGGTAAACTCATCAAATCTATAAACTAGGTAACTCAGATTAGTATGTTAAACCTGTTAACAGGTTATAAACTTCATCTAGATTATAATTTTTTTCTAAAACTATTTTTTATTTAGCTGCATGATAAAAAAATATAATCACAAAATAAAACACCAACTAAATTCTAAGAAGTTGAAAGAATTAAGCGACAAATAAATATCAAAATATTTAATATCATAATATGAGTAATTTATCTTATTATGTTTAATAAATTTCTCTATCAAAATAAACTTGTAATACAAAGACATATAAAATTTGTACCAGAAACAAAAAAAATACATAAAATTTTTGAATAAAAAAAAATACAGGACTTCACATATGAAAAATCTTGTAAAAAATCAATATTAAAAAAATTATATGTATAAAATTAAGAAAAAAATAACAAATAAATCATACCTACTTCTTTAAAAACTAAACACACTCAATATCATTAAAAACTAATAACAAACTAATATAAACGTAAACCCATAATTTATTTATTTTTAAAAAAATCAATTATTGGGTTGATGGTATGCTAGGCCTAGTGCCTCATCCAATCAAGCAACAAACCACACGTGAGCCTACAAATGTTTTTTAAGTTCATTTATTTCCCCCATGTATCGGAAATGTTTTTGATGTGTCGCCTACATTAGCAAATGCATAATATGTATTCTATTTATCCCTAGAATACGGTTATTATGATGGTCAGAAAAATAGTGTTTTTTATTTTTTATCTAAAAACTTATTTTCAATTCATTTTCTGCCAAAAAACCTAAAAAACACTTTAAAAAACTTGTTAAATCAATACATGGCCACAAAAAATGTCAGGAATTGCCTTAAAACCTAAAATCCACCTAAAACAAAAAAAATATTTCGAGCTCAGAACTGATTTTTAGGTGTTTATAAAGTAGAAAAACACCTAATGTTAATTTCTCTCATCATATGGAACCATTTAACATAAAAACAACTATCTTGGTTGGCGAATTCCTCACCAACATACACTTTCTCTTTTTAAAATGGAATCCAATGACCTTTTTTCTCTCCTTCAACTAACAAAAATGAAAAAATAAGTGAAAGAAAATTTGATATTAAAATTAAATTTTATAAAAATCAAATGATTAATCACCTAATAGCTAAAAATGATAAGAAACTCAAATAAATTGTTGACAATTTATATTACTTGTCGTCTCATTTCATATCTTTTTTTTTTAATTTAACAATCCCTGAAAAAAACATGCAAACTAAAATTCCAGGATTAAAGTTAATTTTTTTAAAAATTACACTATTATAATTATTAGAATCACTATTACAATTATTATAATTCACATACATGAGAGGATGAATGATATTTTATGAATAGTGGATTTAGCTTTATGTATTATGATGGTAAATATTAGCATGTTGCGTAACAATAAGCCTTCTAATAAATTATAGAAACACAAGATTATTAATGTTTTCATACATGCTGTCTAATCCTCAGAGGTGCAGTGCTTCTTCTGTGTTGATTTCTTAACCTTTCACACATGTTCTTAACATGTTCCATATATCGAGTGTCTTCATTAGATGAAAGGGCTATTGGTGTGATCCATGATAGTTTGATGCCTTTCTTTACTAGAGAAAATATTTCCTTGAACTTCAATTTTATTTATCTTCCAATTGTTGATTTCGATTGATGTTTTGAATGAATCATGTTGTATTACTAAGCAAATCTACCTCCAAATCCTGTGGCCTTAATTCCCATCATGATCAAGGTAAAGCATATCTTATAATCAATTTTCATGAAGTCTCTATCCTGCTTTTTTAGGTACCACCATGCATTATCAATTTTGAGAGTTTCAGGCCATTTTCTGTGCTCAAGGATCTGATCATTACTTGCCATTTTCTCACTTTAAAGTTCCCATGACGATGAACAAGAAAAGATAGGCATATATGTTAAATACAGTACATATTACATGAACACTCCACTTACATTACAGACTCTGTACATTAACTTCGATACAATATCTCAGCCTGCTCTCACAATTTGGATTGCATAGCAGTTAATTAGGACCCCAACAACTCAAATACATCACAGTCCGCAGCGATTCCTCTGCCTGTTTACGCTTGTTATCTTCACTATTTTTAGCAGGATTATTGAAATCCTTGGAACTGAAATTACCTGAGAAACTTGTTTTCTGCTTGGATGAAGCAGAGGTACAAGCAGCTTCATTAAGGGGCTTGACACTTGAGTCATTCTTAGAAGCTTTATCTTTAATACTCTGCATCCTTTGGAAACCTGGCTGAAAGACCTCCTTCCCAATGGATCTCAAGCTCATAACTTGTTCTAAGAGAGACTAAATGCTTTCCATATTTCCTGCTTCTGTGAGTGTAGAAAATAGTATTTGTTTCAGGAGTGCTAAGAGGAGAGTGGAGTGATGAGAGATGTAAAGTCTACACCATAAG